TCATAATATTAGTTAATCTAAGTGTAAAGTGTATTTTTTAAATTTTTTTTTGTAAATCTTATTGGTGTTGAGAAAGGGCATCACGAGGACGTCCGCGCTTGAGACGCCGAARGGTAGGCTTATCGCTGAGTTTGAAATATTTTGTAATTTTTTATGATGTCTGCAACATTTATTTTATCGTTTTGGATTCTTGAATATAGTTATTTCAATCATCTTTCTGTAGTTTGGATCAATCCTAGTTTTTTTCTTTTATTGAATGCCCTCCTTCATCATTTAATGCCAACTTTTCTAAATCTGCAAGACTGTAGGTCTGTAGCCACTTAATTTACTTCCATATTGTTGTAGCCTTGTAGGATGATTTGACCGTCAAAATATGTTAAGTGATTGTTCCATCCTTCAGTAGAATTGTTTGYCCTGTGGGCTGTGGTTRCCATGAAGGGTTGTATATGGAATATGGAACTTCCAAGTATTAGTTGAAAACATAGGTTGTAGTCTTCAAAGATACACATTAACTCTAGCCGTATTTCCAATTTTCCTGTAAGCGCCATTCACATTATAAGTCTCAAAATTAATTTTTAGATTATCTGTTTCATCTGTTTCATTTGGAATATTTTGTTTTAAACACTCTGTACGACTGTACCCTCTTGTACTTTATTTAATCTTAATGGTAAAAAAGCTAAACTATCAATCATTGCACATAATATATTTTGAAAACTTCTATCTTCTTGATATCTGTTAGAATGTTACACAAATCAAGTTCCTAAACTTTTTGGTTTTCTGTAAGTTGATTGGCATATGAGCTATATAACAGTAGTAGAGCTAGTAAAACATTCTCGAATAGGTATGTTTATGTGATTTGCAACGACATAACTTCGTTGCACTGTTTACAGCTAATTTGAAATCTAATTTAAAATTTAATGGATACCGTATAGATCACGTTTATTCGCACTCTACTGTAATAACTCGAAATATATGTTCAAAGGCTGGTTGCGTTTTTCGTTCTAAGCTATAATAAATATCAATAATAAATACTTAATCTCTTTGTATTTGTAATACATATAACTGTGTAAAAATACTGGTACAAGTAGCACAAATCCKAAATTCCAATCGATGAACCATGTTTGAACTTCAGCTAATAATGAGACCTTGAAGTCAGTAGCAAAATATATTATTTATTTGTATGATTTTCTATTATCGCGCAAAAGAAGTCTAT